CCACCTCGCCCGCCCCCCCCGCCGACACCCCCCCGCCCCCGCCGGCAGCGGCGGGAGCCGAGGCCTGGGCTGGCGCCGGGGCCCGGAGCGGCCCTCGCTCGTTCCGGCGGAGGGAAACGGCGAGGCAGGGAGCGGGGCGTGATTGCCAGCCCCGGGGACCAATGGGGGAGCGCGGGAGGCGGGCCGCTCGCCGGCACGTGAGGCCGCGGGACAGACGCATGCAGGGATAAACAGAGGGGAATTGGGGCGGGGGGGGGTCGGAGAAACCGGCGTGTTCGGACGTCTGAACGGCAGTGACTGCTTAATTGGGCTAATTGGGGGTGGTTGCTGCGTTTGGTGGGCTCTGGGACAGGTGTGCAGGGACCGAACACCTGACCTGGTGCAGAACTCCTGCATCCTGGGCAGCCTCCAGGCCTGGAGGAGTGGGGTACTTGCTCCTGGACTCCATGATCTGCCCTCGTGCTTTTCTCATTTAGAGTTTTATAGAGAATTTTAAGCCCGGGATCAGACAAGGCTTTAGGAGAGTACGTGTCTATGCACCTGTCTCTGTCTTGATATACATATGTGTCATGAACGTGTACCTTATCAGCAGTTTTTCCACAAACATTTAAAAATTCATATGAAGCCTGCTTTGCTTTGCGTAATATGAGAAATATATTCAGAACAAATACAGTAAAACAGAGGTTTTGTTGCGTTTTGTTTTAAACACAGATATCTCTATTTCCACAAAAGCACAGAAAATTGTATTACTGAAAATACAACCTCACAGGCGGGTGTTTGCTTTGTAACTGGAGCTGCAGATCTTCTGTTTTTTCGTTTGATTTCTGGGGCTTATTTTCTTAATCTAGATTTCGCCATAATGGGTAACTAATTCAAAATTCAAGGGATTAAGAAATACCTGTGGTATTTGTCTGGCTTAAATACAAAGATATGCAAGTGTTGACTGGTAATTGTATTGTATCTCGCATTTTTTTTTCATTCTAGAGCAGGTCTCGTAATTGGGAATTTATCAACATTTCCACTGGGGTAATTTTACAGGATTATCCACCCTCTGTTCTTCCTGCTGGTTCATCTGGACTCTGTGGAGTTTGCTGCTAGCAATGAAGCCTTCTGTGGGGGTTTATTCATGCTATTACTGAAATGGAGCCCTTCGCGTTTGGATTAACTCTTTGTTCACTTTTCACCTGAATCGCTTGGAGCAGTCCATTTATAAAAAGGATACTACCATGCATCTCTTTTCTGTTTGCATTTTGAAGTTGAACTCTGAATACAGTCTTGATGTGTTCAGGCTGTTTGCTTGAATTTTAGAGGAAGAACTGAAATATAAAGATAGATGAGACTGTAATACTGCATGGGCAGGTAAATACTTTTGACATTTTATATATGAAGACTTGAAAACGTGTTACGAAGGGTCACAAATTGAATGAGCGTGCTACATTTCAAGGTAAAAATCATTAAGATCAGGCTGTACTAGATACTAGGAAGGCATTCTTCTAAGCAAGTGCAGTGTTCATGATGGAAACCGCTGTCTTTAAAATGGGGTCGAATGCTCCCAAGATTGAGCAAACTGAAAAGTCTTTCCCAACAGATGAACAAAAGCATCTGTTTTTAAAAGCATGGCAGTGTAAATAAAAATGGTCCTGTTAATCTATCACCAAAAAGCTAAGGTTTTTTGTTTGTAGTGCAGTGTGTCGTCTTATTTGGATTACCACCGTGCCTTGGAGGCCAGGTGGTGAACCAGAATTCCTCCTTCCAGTTGTGCAGCACCTGCTACAACAGGCAGTCCCTGCTGCAGAGGGCCTTGTTCTGTTTGTTAACAGACTCTTGGGTTTTAAATTATTGTCTGGTTTTGTCATGTAATTTTGTCTGCACACGTGTATATATGCAGTCTGTACCATTACTTCCCTGGCCCAAATGGCGCTGCATTAAGAGATTATACACAGATGGTATCTTTATGAATGAAGATGCCTTTTAGTCTTCAGAATTGAAAGAATATACAAGAATTGTCGCTTATTTCCATAGGGTTTCTTGCTAGGAGAAATATATAGTATTCAAAGGTTACAATTGTATATGATGAGCTTGAAAAAACTACCACTGACCTTAAAACCCTGCAAGAATAATCTCAACAGACCCTACCTCTAGATTTTAGTCCTAGTTGCACGAGACAGAGGTTGACCCTTGCCCTGTTGCCTACAATGTATCTGGGTTTTTTTAATCCGTATATTGAGATTTTACACTACTTTTGGTGGCAAAATACTGACATTACAGCAACCAGTCTAAATTAAGTCTTCTTCATGGTGTAATATTGAAAGCTTTACACATAAGTTGCTCAAACTGAGTCACTGCAGGGTTTCATCTGTTTTGTATTCCTTTTTCAGTGTTGGTGCTTCACACTCGGAAGTGTGATTATTGTACAATATCCTGCAAGATTATTAGCATTGTATTAAGTGACATAAATTAACTTCCTACATTGAAATCGGGTTGTAGAAGTCCACTTAACAGGAAAGCTTGGCATAAGCTTGGGGACCTGCACTCACAATTTCTACATTGAGCGATTTCTGCAGTTGAAGTCTTAAAGAGTTTACAAATACTTAGGCAGGTCCCATGGAAAAAGCTGTTTAAATGCTTAACGTGTACTTTTGAGCTACTAATTACACTTCCAAGATGGTGCTTATTTAAAAAAACTGGCAACAACTCAGTTTTTTCTTTTGTAAGACTGCAACATGAATCCTTTTGTTAATGCCTCAGAGGGCTTTTTTTAAGTGAAGGAATCAAGGAGCAGAAAATACATACATAGTTGTTTACTTTAGAACTAAAATACTTGCTCTTAGTATTCTGATTTATGCTATAATGGAGCTCTGCAGGAAAAGGTTGATTTTTTTTTTTTTTTTTTTTTTAGACTGGGAAAGCCGTTAGGTATGTCATGCAGGCTGCCATCTAGATGTTGTGATCTCAGCCTGGATATTTTGATAGCTCTCTTGTGTGTCTTAGTTCACGTTCCTGATATGCAACCTTTATTCTGCAAGTGAAGCAGCTTCCTACCTTAAGACTGTCCTAAAGTTTCAATACCATTTTATAATACCAGCATCTCCAAGGCCTCCTTCAGCTCTTTGAGCTTCCCCCTTTCCTTAGCAAGGCAGCAGTTTCAGCCTGAAGACTGGACATTTCTAGAACATGCTGAAGCAATGTGAGTGATAGCTCATGTCATTAGGGTACAGCATCTTGCCATAGGTAGGAGACCATGAATATACCATAATTTAGTATACTGCATATTACAGATAATCTCTACAGCTTTACTGCCCGAGCTATTTTGGAGTATATTGATGAGTGAGGTGTGGATCCTGCAAGTTGATCTGACTTAAATGGTGCTCCACAGAAGTATTTCTCTGCATAGATCAGTTTGCAGAGTCAGGGATCAGGGAAAAAAAAAACAACAACTTTAAGCGCTAGCTTCACTTCAGAGACAGATCATTTCAAACCACATTGAACTGACACCTACAAAGACAGGAAGGCTTAAAACTAAACCAAAACACAGCTAGGAGCGTGCACCATCTGATATGTATCACCTGTCAGAACAAGGAGACAACATTGTAATGGCTAAGTAATAAAAAGTATTAAGATGTTTTGTGCCAAACTCTGAGCATTAACACTTCTTAATACTCTTTCAAAGACGTTTTAACAGTTGTCCACCCAACAGAAGAGCTTTGCCTGGCAAAGCAAAGGTCCTGTGGATTGAGATAGAGGAGTTTAAGTGCTGCCTTAATCACAATTCATCTGTAAGTAGAGTGCTTTCAGAACAAGAGTTTTTAGGAACAAGTTATCTGTGTGAAGAATAATTAAAACTAGAAAGGAATCCTTGCTTTGCTGAGGAACATCATGACAGATCCACCTCTGGAGATCTGAGGACTGCTTGTACAGTAATTGTCAGTCATGGCATAGATGCTTTCTGGGCAGGGAGCAGTGGGATCACCCCGTGGTTTCTTCTGGTGTAGTATGTCAGGACTTTTCTCCAGTGGCAGAACTTGGAAAGCTGCTACTTTGGTTGCTCATTAACTTCACATAATCTACATCAGTACAATTGTCGCTGGAGTAATGTTGAAAACCAACCAGTGACGTGGCTCAAGTGGTGATTTTGTTTGTTTGTTTGTTTGTTTTTAAAGCCACCAACAATAAACCCCACTTTCTTAGCTGGGTATCGTTGGTTTTCAGCATTGTCTCACAAACAGCTGCATCAACACAACGGAGGGAGGTGATGAAGTAGAACATGGGGACAGGAAAGAAATCTCTGGTTGGCTTTGCTGCACAAGAGCATGGTTGTGGAACAACATTCTCAGGCTTGTTGGTTTAATTTGAAGTAAAAACAATCTATGAATAGTCTGGTTGCTTCTATCAGGATGTGGCTAGATGGGTAGAGCACGAACTGTGTGAACAAGTTCTATAATATCCTGAACTTCAGTTAGGTTAGCAACTCTAATATTAACAAGCATTTAAATATCTAGAAATTGTTTTTTTAGGAAGGCAGAGATTTTTGGATTTAGATACTGGCATCTCTTGTCAAGCACTCGTTCAGATCTATAGCAGGAATGCTGAAAATGAGCTCGTGTCCAAACTTCATTTAAAATAGCTAGGTTATCTCTTACTCCTAAGTTCTGTTGCAAGGCTAAGAAAGAGAATAATGTTTTGTGCAGTGACTTCATGTTTTCACCCACAAAACAACAGAAATGTGGTAAGTGTTCTGCAGACGCATAAAGGAAAATGTGGTAAGGAATGTTGTGGTGTACATGCCAATATTTAGAATAGCTTACTGAGTTGGATCAAGATAAGAAATTGTGCAGAAGTTACTCTCAACAAGAATTAATGTTCCATGTATCACAAAGAATCATAACTAAATTGTTAAATATGATTGTCTGGACACAACCGGTGGAGTGAGAGTTGGTAATGTATTAACGTTTTGGAGTGTAAGACCATCGTCGTTAGCTTTCTGAAGACGTTTGTAGGTGAAGCTTTTAAGCCTTGGTCTTACTGCCTGTCTGCATTTTTAAAACTTGAAGCTAAATGTTTTACAACAGAACTCTTCTTGTTAAAGTTGATCTTTTAGGTTCTATCTTACTCGTACAGTATATAATTATGTAATGCAAGTAAATTCTTAAAGTAATTAGTGAACCTGACTGATCTTTTAATGTATTGGTATTTCAGAATACACTAAAATAGAACATGCAAAAATCTGAATGTGTATAGTACTCGGTAGCTAGCCAAAGTGTTTCTAGGGATACCAGTTAAAGGTCAGCCTTTGCTTTGCAATGTGGTTTTGTGTTAATGTTTGTTTTGTATACAGCAGCCTTTCACTATAGGCATAATTACATACAATTGCTGATAATTAAGAACTATTCTAATCATCTGTGCTATGTCTATGCTACACTGAGAACATTTGGATATAGTATTTCTGCTCATTAGATGTCGTGCAGGGTAAGGGGTGGGAATTTGAGTTCTTTATCATGAGTCAGATAAAATAGATCTATCTTGCAGGTCTGTCTAGAAGATGGAGCAGTCAAGGACTTCCGTGCTGAATTCTGCCTTTTATTTTCTGACCATTTTAGAGTTATCTTTCAAACCCAAACTGGTCTTCATAGCAACTGAACATGGAAGTGAAAATTGCTTCTTTGCACTAGTGAAACTATGGTAAATAAGTTTTTTCACGCCTTCCAAGGTTTAGGGGGTTACATGTACACCACTAAAATACCGGGCTGCAGGTTGCTCATCTGATAGGAAATTGTGATTGCAAGTGGAGTGGAGGGGTGGCAGGTTGGGCAGGAGGAGAAGTAGAGGTTTGGAGAATGGCAACCTCCCTACCCCTGCCACACACCTTATAACCAGCCAGTTTGCATTTCTATAAACAAGTAGTGAAGAAGGACAAAGAAACCTTAATTAAATTTGAAATACCTGCAGGTCAAAACTTAATGATACAGTCGTCTTAAAAATATGAATTGACTGATTTTTGGACTTAACAAAATTGAAAGCCTGATCTAGTCGGTGCTATATAACTCTATAGTCTAATCAAGTCTTCCTGATTTGAAAACAGCAAATATATCCTCTGACATTTATGACCTGGTTGATCCAAACCTGGATGCTTTGCTTTTCTTAAGTTTCAGGAGGGTTATGTCTCATTTTAGTCAGCTTCAGCTAGATTAAGGGTTTTGCAGAACTTTTACAGCTTTATAGATTTTTTGAAAGACTATTAAAGCATTTGTCAACTTCTGAGTTTTCTGTAGTAGAACTTATATATGCAAAATCAAATAACTCATCTGATTAGTTATATTTTAGATATACTCACATGAACTAACGTGTATTGACTTAATCAG